AAATGGGACATATATTTAAATTTACAGTATAATATTCCTTAAATGATCTTAAAACGTAATTTTATTGAGCAACGGCAGCAGAAAAGAGAGCTTTTATCTTAACATTCTGAGCTCTGTGAGCGCTAACCTGGAAGCTGCTGCTGCCGCCTTGCCGTTTTGTGAATCAGAACGTTGCTAGGGCTGAGGCTGATGACGTTTTTCCAGCACATGAGAACGAATAAACACACAGATTGAGCAATGGCCATAGACTCCTGCTGGTGTCACTACAAACAGCTCTGTGGTTTTTGTCCCATCAGGCTGGAATTGGTCTTTGCCACTCAGCCGGCGTGAGCTAAGCTTTTATTCTGACATGCGGCTGGTAAAGACCAGCTTCCTGTCCCTCCGGTCTTTGAAAGGCTCCAGATCAGTCGCCGCGCGGCACAGGAAGCCCCGGCTGAACGTTGCCTCCCACGCTGCGGCCGTTTCTCAGTACGGAGGTCAGCCTGTCACCTGGAGCTTCCCGCTCACCCTTTGATCTAAAGGCCAGCGCCTGGCGTGGTCCGCCAGAGAGCATGCTGGGAGCCACCATCAGCCGCGCTGGAGGCTCCCAGGAGCCGCAGAGCAATCGAAGGAGAAGCCACGTGTCGTGACCTTTTACAGAATGCCACTGTCCGTGTCGGTGTCCAGATCCGCCAGCGCAGGTTCAGCATGTTTCCTCTGATGTTTAGGGCTCAGAACGCAGTGCTCTGAGTACAGCCGCCTCACAACACATAAAAAAAAAACACACAAAGTGTGTTAAATCCACTGCTGGTTTGTATTTAGGGACAGAAACAGATTCAGGCTGCTGTTAACCCTTTAAAATGCATTATATGTAGAAGGAACATCTAAAGGTATCAGGGAGGTTAAACCGCTAAGATATCCATTTTAGCGAGTCCAATATTGCAAAGTAATTGCAAAATAACCAATAATACATTGATTTTTATTTTTTATTTTAATTGCACAGAATTATGTTAACAATTTTTGCCATTATTGTGCAGTATTTTATTTTTTACTCTGCTTTTATAACCTTTGAAATGTCATGTTTGTGTGAGTCTTCTAACTTTAAATCTCTGTCACTTTGCTCTTGATGCACAAAAATCTCCCGCTTATGGTATAAGAAAGGATTTTTATTATTCAATTCTATTCTTATTCTTAGAGGTTCATTAAAGGAGTTGTAGGACCGCCTCTTTCCTGTTTGTATAATTTATCAATGAAAGATAAAGAAAATTTAGTCCATCTGATTTTTAATGAGTCTGACTGAACTGCAAAAATTTAAATAATATTTTCTTTAGATAATTGCATTTTTTCTAGAATGGAGGAGGCAATTGCACTGGAAAAAAAATCTAAATCTATATAAGTCATTTCTTCTTAAAATA